CAATTGACTTTCGTGCACTTTATCTGTCTGTCTAACAGTAGTACATATCTATCGCATTTCTGCATACAAAAGAATAAAGCTAAAAAAACTCTGGCAGATGAATCCAAATCTATCCGATTTATAAATAACATCACTTACTGTCAAACAATCGTGCCACACGCACGAGGCCTTGAATGCCTTGAAACCCGAAGCTTCAATCAGCTGGCACCAGCCTATGAAGTAAATACATATAAAACTATGCTGACAATGCAGAAGAAACGCTGATCTCCTGGTTTTCAGAACCAGTAGAATTTAAGACCTCGGTCAGTGCATTTATCAGGGTGCTAAAAATAGTTGCTCTATCATTTAAGGAATTAAATCCTAATAAATGACATCATGCTTCTGCTACTGTTGCAACGAGAATTACAGTTTGAAAGGTTTCGAATAAAACTGAATTGTGATCTGCATTTAGTCGATCATTTCTCAGCCATTAAAATACCACAATTTTATAACAGAAGTTACAAGCGGTGAGAAGTCATGTCAGGAACGGAAAGTCATCATTCTCCTTGAACGAATGGGTTAGCGATCTGCTCCAACCCATCAGTAGGGCTGACAACCATCACAGTCGTTCCTCGAGCAACGATCAGGCCCAAGTTTCTGGTGTCGTTGGTCAATTTGTATGGATCATCGGGATCTAGAAAAAAATATGTCTAGCTGCAAAAATTAGTTCGACAATGTCTTGAAACAGTTATTACGCTCAATCTGAAAGCCCTACAAAAACCGGACGACTAGCTGAGAGTGTCGGGCTCGTAACCAACAGGAATTCGATTCGAGACCCGATCAGATGACTCGCCTTACTTTCTTACGAGGTCGATAAATTAATACCAGGAGAGGAAACAAAAGACTACACACTATGCTTGTCGTATCAACTCTTACCTCACAATAAGGCATTCCTGGCCGTTGACATGATAATGAAGACCAGTACCCAGTAGAAAAAAAAAGTACCAGGATGAGGCCTTCCATAATACTTTAAGGAAGACCGAGACTCCAACGGTTACAAACTTTTCTTCCTTTTCGTTCCTAGACATCCTCAACCAAACATTTACCGTCTATATCAAAACCTTTCATCGTCATTTCTCAGGATAGGCGGAATGGGGAAAAACTATCCTGATCATGTTTTCTTGTGCATCGGTACAAGTGCTTGCCGCAGTGACTGTGTCATGGTTTCGTCCTTCTCTTGGACAAAACTGAGTCGGAAGTCACAAAGAAATCAGTCGATACGATGCCTTTGAAAATGGAATATCTAAACTTAAAACTGCAACATCCAGAGTTAAAACTAGTCTGATAACAGAGAACAACAATCAAAAGTCAAACTAGGTCATTAGATAACATCAAAATGTCAGAAAGGTCAATGACTACCTTAAAACTGAAAAATTTTATCGATGTCCTAAACTGAAACTAAAACGAATCAATAGACAGGGTAAAGACCGATGTTGTAGCGCTTTTAGTTATTAGAATGGCCGGAGTTTCAACCAAACAACATCAGCCATCCTCAGGACAAATAATCTTGCCATTTCCCACAGAACGATCAATATTCTTTTGCACAAACGTACACATTTCGAATAAACAATTTAATAATGTCTGTTTTGGTGTCTATAACCACTGAATTACCAGTTTCGCTAAAGAAGACAGAATCGAAATGAGTTTTAAATATCATTTATGAGGGATATAAACAAAAGACAAATGCGCAGAAAGAGCGAGAAAGGTTAACTGAACGTTTACTAGTCAGGAAACAACAGCGGCAAACGACTTTTAGGATATTCAAGGATATTTAGGATATTTTAGGATTTTAAAGACAGAATAACAAAGGCGGCAGAACTGAGTAATTGAAGAATGGCAGTCCCTCTTTTATCATTAAAAAAATCTACCACAAGTCTAGCATGATTACAAACTCGTAAAGAAAGATCATGGATCACGTAAGAAACTTCACATAGCTGACTGAGTGCAAGGTAAAGTTCTTTCTCGACTTCTGGCTGGAAAACCATATTTGGATGGCACTGATTCAGCAACTTTCAAGCGATGTTGACAAGAAATAGAAGTTAGGAAAAGTTCCGCAATAATGTCGTTCTGGAGTTGTGGCAACCAGTAATTGCGGATTGCTTTTCATAGTTCAAAATGTTGAAATCGACTGATACAGCGGTAGTACACAACGAACACAACGACTGATATTAGAAAAAAATCGCAGATTAGAATGGACTAGTCACCCTCTTCGCCTTTTCAAAGAAGAAAGCATCACTTTGTCAAAAGAAGATGAAAACTACACAATATGGCTGTCATAGGGTTTCAGAAATGCAGGCAGTAACCTCAAAAATTTTCTCGCATTCTATGGAAAAAGGTTTAACTAGTATTGCAAATTACGGGACTATAGGCGAGACCGATAGGCAACATGTTACACAACTTTCTGGAAGTTTCCCAGATATGATAAGAATGGGACTCCCATCCGCTTAGTTCCGTCGTTCCTTCGCTGGATGCTCTCTTCAATCTATCAGATCCTTCACCTAGTGCCATTTTCCGCCGAGGCGCGTTTCACAGATCATGAATATTTTATATTTTAATCATATTCGTTAAAGTTTTATCACTTTCTGCTAAGGCAGTCATTCGACGTAAATTCATTGCCATTGTATACTATTCTTTGATAACAATTTAAACTTATGAACATATATTAGCAAAAAGCAAAATGCTACCGCTGAGATATTGTTCTCCCTTATATTTTCTATTCGAGTAGTTGATATCTTAGAAACACAAAGTTATTAATAATGCTTCGGCTGTACTGTTATTATCTGAAATCTCTGCAAAACTGTTGAACAGTTTATTTAGTGCCTCATGGAACCATTTTCATTGCATAATTAATTTCGTATCGTATACCCCTGAGATATTCGACGGTATTATCCAAGACTAGGTTCAACAGGGCGTCGAATCCTTTGAGAATTCCACTTGCCTCGCGACCACCTTGAAACTTCACCCGAATCTTCTTGTCAATATACTTCGAGAGGTCGATAACGCTCTCCTTTTTTTTCCGTTCCCTGTCCTGCATTTAGTAAACCTAAAATTAATGCATTTGTATTTAGGCATAAGGCAAACGATGAATAATCAGAAAACGCAACACAGACAGATTCAAATGTGTGTTTCAAACGAAGTTTCCACGAATTCTAGTCATTGGTTTGTTATTAAAGTTTACAAGTCACTACTTCGAAATTTTGGTAAATAGTTCAGCACGAAATTAAAGATAGGGCTACTACTGCTCATTCCGGAGTGCAAAAATTACGCGTGCAAAAATGCAAAACTCTTTAACAAATGAATCAATTGATGTTGGCATGAAGAGAAACAAGGTAATTATCAGCGGTACTACTGGCAATGCTTGAGCAACGACTAGCGGTACTATTATTGATCTCATATCTCATTATATAAAAGCATTGCAGCCTATGCCATTTCAGTTAAGAATCATAAACCAGAAAGTAGTGAAGAAAACTGCATCGGCGTTAACATCGCTATCAGTACCAGCATCAGACTCAGCAATAATATTAATGCTACTACCAGCATTAATGGTAGCATTACTAGTAAGTTAAATTAAAAGTCAAGCAATGAGTTCTGACAGAGAAAGAGAGGATGAATTTTAAGGATGGAAACGCGACACGACTAATAATCTTATTTCTCGTCGTTTAATAGTAGTACACCCTGCACTATTTCTATTCAGAATGATACACTATAAAGAAAAGAAAATGCAATCATCTGTTAAATGTCACTTTCAGTAATAGAACCAGATTTAGTACTACAGCTGAAGGCATTATCAGCAGTAGTACTAAGAGTACCTTTGATAGCATGATCGCACTTAATGTGGGCTCTAGTAGAGAGAGCTCGAATTGTGAGAATAACACCGTAAGAACGAATCACGACAGCATTGATAGCAGTCCCACTTCTCGTCGTATCAACAGTAGTGTACAACCGGCGGCAATCTGTTAAATGTGACTGTACCACTCCAGGTGAAAAACTGCAGTTACTCGTTACTACTAGTACTCATGGTAGTAAAATCAGCACTATAACTAGCTCAGCTACCAATACTCCTACTGATAATAACACCAATGGAACTGCTTGCGATAAGTATAGCAAACAGTGCTATCAGCAATCGCACTAGTAACATACTAATACCGGTTCTCCCACCGAAAATAGCAGTGTAATAGCAATAATACCATTATAGGAAGCTCAAAAAATGAATGGACTTGTAAATCCTATAATAGCTTGTTGTGTCCCAGAAGAGCAAATCATATGTCCTCATCTGATGAAGAAGGCACAGGATAAATATAAATCAGTAGTCATACGATACTCGCTAAAGTGATTTGCTGTAAATCGATAAGAATTCTGAATTAATTCAGGCATTGAGCTAAACTCAAAGCTTGCTAAGCTACAAAGGCTGCCAAAAGCAACCAGCTTTCACTGATCCTATCTACCTTTAAACAAAATACACTCCCAGGAATTTAAACAATTTTTTGATTCTGGGCTCATATTTAGAAGATAGGTGGTTGAATGATTTATGGTTCGGGACACCAAATACAACAGATGATAAAACAGTTTATTGCCAACGCATTTCGCTACATAGATCGCAGCATCATCAGGAGTAAGCCAAGTTAAAAAAATGATTTTGTACCTCAGGTGGATTTTTAAAGCCTGATGGAGGTAGTAGAAAAAACTCGATTAGAACAGAGTAGATTTATAACAGGATTTACAATCTGATATAGTCGTACACGATGGTTAATACAGCCATACGAGACTGCTGACGTGCAATGGTAACGAGTTTCGCAACCGATCAAACTTAGGTAGGGTAGGGATGTAAGTTTATTAAACGATGGGAGAATAAATATACTAGAGCAACAAATGCGATTAAAAGTATGGACTGTGACTACAACCAGTCTAAACGGCATGATGGTTAGAAGAAACGTTATCCCTAGCACAAATGTTCATAAACAAGATACATTTATACAAAACATCGATCTTCAGGTTGAAATAAAAAATAAGAGAAGCTAACAGCAGCGGTGCCATCAAAAGAAGCACAGTTCTATGAAAACAGGGAGAGCCGCCAGTCGGTAAATGGTACATGCACGAATGTTGATTATTCACAACCCATTAGGTCAATATAATAAATTAACGCTGTTTAATCAAAAGCAGTCCCTAATTATGAGGTACAATACGTATATGATTTATGGCAAAAACGTCTGAAATCAAAGTAAGTGGCAAAAATCACAAAAAACTATAAAATGCCGATGACAGTCGATTTGAAACTGGCGCTCAATTTCGGTCACATGACTGTTCAACATGGAGATTTTGTAGGTAGCCAAAACGCGACATGTCTTTTTGCCCATCAACATATTGCAAAAAAAACAGAACAATGCCACATATAAATGCATAAAATACGGCTAATATAGTAAAATGGCGGCAACGAAACATGAATATGAATTATACAACGAAAAACCTTGAAAATCCAGTATTTCAGTCTTTTAAACGGAAATAAAAGAACTTCAAACGTCCAGGAATATCAAACAAAAGAATCCCTAAAACTGAAGCTAATTCGAAAGGCCAAATGAAAGTACATTTTTGCTAGAGCCGCGGAAGCGCAAGCATTTGAACTTCCAACCAATTTTAAACGAAACCGTCGTAAACAGCGAAATATCTTTTCCGCGCGAACTAATGGCAAACGGTTTATAAAACGCAATGCATCCGTCAACAGGTACATCAATTTGCGCAACTTAGCATTAAACTCAACGTACCTAATTTTAGATTCCAGTCAGATAGCGAAAGTACCAGTATGCAAGTGGGCGAAATTACGGTAGTTTGATGCTTATGTACGTAGTATACCGACAGCATTGTTTCAGAATTCTTTCCCTCAAACAGAAAATGCGACCTGTGGCTTTCGGTCATTCGTGTTTCGGTCATGCAACCGTATTTTCTGCATGTATTCGTAGATTTTGTAAGTTGTGCGTATTTGTAGTCGTTCACCGTTGGTTATGGCGTTTTCAAATTCGGCGACGCACGTGTTCGTGTCGCCCCCCGCGGCACCTACATTTGTACCGACCGAAGAGGAGTTCCGCGACCCGCTGGCGTATCTGGAGAAGATTCGACCGGTGGCCGAAAACTATGGAGTCATCAAAATCAAGCCCCCTCCTGTACGACAGTTTTTTGATTGTTTTGTCAACGTGTTTCGGCCGTGGTTTGACGTTGCGTGTTTTCGCAGAATTGGCAACCGCCGTTCATGATCGACGTCGACGAAAAAGAGTTTGAACCACGGGTACAAAAGCTGAACGAGCTGGACGGTTTGAGCCGCGTCCGTTTAAACTTTGTCGACCGCATCGCCAAGTTCTGGAACCTGCAGGGCATCGTTTTGCGTATCCCGGTCATCGAAGGCAAGGCATTGGACCTGCATAGATTGCACCAAGTTAGTCACGCAAATTTAAAACCATCATTTAATGGTGAAAGTAAATAATGTGCGCAAATGCGTATGGTTCAAATTTTCTCTAAATTCTCCTATATGGTTTTATTGCAATTACATTTCATCAAGGTTCACTGTTTGCTTCATTCATAAAATTGTATGGCGTTGATGAAAGTTGTGTTGCGTAAAATGTCAGTGCGTGGCAATCGCCTGCTTTTCGATTTTTTCTGTTTCTCAGCGGAAAAGCAAAACTCCTTAAGCACTTAACGAAGATTACTTTATATTTGGTTTCTTCCATCAACTCTTACCGTTGGACATTGCGGACTAGTTGACGTGCGTTTTAGTGTATGATGCATAGCTGAAACTACCAAAATTAAGTTTACCCTGAACGCGTGACTCTTCATCGACGTATCGTCATGATGCTCGTCTATTAGCGCTGTCAATTCGCTGGCAACGATGACGAATCCGCGTTGCGTTCGTCTCAAATGGCTAGCGTTTCCTCGTGATCTCGTCAGAAAGCCCGTAGCGCGAGACTGCGGAAAATTTCAGTTTTTTGCTCATCAGATTTGTTTCAACATAAAAGCGAAGAAATGCTTCAGTATTCTAACCATGTTCAATAAAGTGTTAAGAACATTTCAGTAAATGAGTGACTTAAGATTTCAAGATGTCTTGTTCATTGACTGACTCTAATCCTGTTTTCGACAAATGCGACCGCATTTCTTGCTAACCTTTTAGGTTTGTAAATATGCTAGTGAATGATAAATCACTGTGCTAAGCAAACCTAAGACGAAAGGATTCGAAAACATCATGTACCATTCCGCATTCATAACGTCTGGTAGTTTTGGGGAATTAAGGTTTCAGCCATTTTGTACCTCATGGAAGTACGTCCTAAATTGGGACTTGTCATAATTGAGGGATACCTGTATACAGGTACTTTTGGCTATGACCATTATCAACCACTTGGATTTGATTTGTTCTTAAACTCTGCGGCCCCAGATTTTGTATTAACGCCCTACCGACTGAATTGCCTGCTATGTCTTAAAATATCACTTTGTTAAACGGTTCAGGACAGATTAGTTTAGTGAATAGATGGTTCCGTTCAATATATTTCACTTCATGGGTCAATAAGACCACATTAAGTTGCCCTGGATAAAGCGCTTCATGAACGAGAATTTACAAAGATATGAGGTTCCCTAGGATTAAGTATTACAACTAAATGCGGATCGATTATGATTTAACTGTTGAGTCCAGTTCGGTGGCTTAAACTAACTTGTCACTACGAAGCTAAGGCTAAGAACACTAAAATCAAGATTCTTCCATTCACTGGCCAGACCTGACCAAGTACTCGTCATGAGACTACAGTTTTTCGAGATTCAGTTGTTTTGGAACGGTTAGCCCGATATGCTTTGCCAGCATTTCTATGTAGATTCTTTTACAAGCGAATCCGAGAATCCATGGCATCTATGGACTGTTTCAGAAGTTTCATGGTATATCATGTATCGCACTATAATCTTGCCATTGTTGCTGTTTTAGTGCTCTGCACTTCGTAAAGTCTAAGAAGAGTGTTCCTGAATAACACATTTTACTCATTCGGTATTTGGGAGATGTTTTCGTCATTATGACAATGGGAAATGCATGGTTGCTCTGCCCGTTGGCTTGTTTTTGTGGTTTTGTGCGGATCTATAAGCATGCAGATGCTGCCATGATGCAGTGTAATCCAGCTTAATGGAGTACATCGTACTAATGAATTCTGTTTGTATTAAATCCCACATTATAAGTAGTATTGAACCAAAAATGAGGTTGCGGGTCTTAAAGACTGTCGAGATCCATGCTGTCGAAAGTCTCAGTGACTACTGTCAGCAGTGATGATTTGATTGGTTCTTAAAATTTGCAATCCCTGTTGTTGGTCTACCACTGTACTTTATCTTATGGTGTGTCGTCTAACGAAAACAATATTTGTCCATCAAACTGTGTTAGCATCTTGCTTCTGCATCCCTACGAAACATTCTGTAGAGGCTACAAGCCGTGTATGGATCAGTGTCGTTCACTGCCTCATTCTGTTAAATAATGCTTCTTCCAAGTACCCCGAGTATCCTCAGCTATGTTTTAAGAACGTTGCTTTTAGGCTTTATCTGCTACAAAGCACTAAAACGGTAATTGTTGCACCGTTATCAAACGATAATGTTCAGAAATTCAGTTTCGACAGCAGATTTCTACCGAAAGAAATTATTCGTGAATTTTCATAATATAATACTTTGTTTAGGATCCTTAGTAAAACGATATGTTCAGAAGTGTTACCACAAGTTCAAGGCTTTGCCTTTTTGTACTGTAAGAATTTGAAGTTAGAATATCCGTTTATCTCATGAGAGGATAGATGAATAGTGGACGATTTACATTCTATGTATGTGACCTTCCTTCCTTTAGACCAAGTTGTTCGGAACTCTTCGGTTAAGAACAGTTTTTACATCCCTATTAAGGTATGATAGTCAGAAGAAGAAGGATTTTTTCTCATCCAGATCATATTATTCGCTTTTGTCCTTCCTATGTTTGTAAATTCGTAGCGCTTTCTAAGAAAGAAGCAGGATAGTAGGCAGTGTCGCCCAACTGTCGAAGAAATATTTAGCACGCGCTGTGGCATCGTAAGTGCCATAAATGGTTGTCATCGCTAGGTCATAAGCTACATAGGATAAGATACTGTAAATTATAAACACTGGAAGTTTGCCGCCCCAATGCATAGAAGCTTTCTTTGTGCTTTTTGTACTACCGTAGCAGTATG